TGGTGAAAGACAGGATAGAGAAGAGACCAATATCAAAGTAAGAGTAAGAAATGATCAATTTGGACAGGAACTGAGTGTTTAAAGTAGGTAAAGAGATATACCTGATAACCTTTCAATATCTCTATTGCAGACCATAATGTCCAAAAGGAGAGAGGGGGGGGGGGAAGAGAAGAAGAGAGGTGAGGAGGGGATGAGAGGGGAGGGAAGGGGAGGGTTGGAAACTGCTGTACTCAGGGCAGAGCAACAGCAAAGTGGGGCAGGATGTTTTCTGTGCACCACGTGTTGGATTCAATCTAAGTTGGATACACAGCAACCCATATGGCCCCCCCTAAGCCGAGAGGTGATCCCTGAACACAGAGTCAGAAGTAAGCCCTGACAAGACAAAACAAAATAAAACAAACAGTCATAATAAATATGCCTGGCACTGGAAAACAGACAGACTGGCAGGTCACTCCATTAGAACTGAGAACCAAAAGAATAACACTCAAAAGAATGGGCACTTAATATATATTACAGGGGTTAGGTGCAAAAAGTGGAGCAAGGAAAACCCCTTCAATAAATGGTGCTGAAAATACTGTATAATCACAGACAAATTAACTAAATGTAACTCCTCTCTTACAACTTACCCAAAGCTAGTTCAAAATGAATTAAAGGCTTTGATATTAAACCCGGGCTGGAGTGATAGCACAGTGGGTAGGGAGTTTGCCTTGCAAGCAGCCAACATGGCCGAGCGGAGTGTGATTCCTCCACCCTCTTGGAGAGCCCGGCAAGCTACTGAGAGTATCTCGCCCGCACAGCAAAGTCTCGCCTGCACAGCAAAGCCTGGCAAGCTACCCGTGATGTATTCGATATGCTAAACACAGTAACAATTGTCACAATGGAGATGTTACTGGGCCCACTTGAGCAAATCGATGAACAGGATAGTGACAGTGACAGATATCAAACTGGTTTCTGGAAAACAGGCAAGAATCTCTAAGTTCTCCAAGACCTGAGGAATTTTCAACGAAATGAACCCACTAGGAAAAAACAAACAAACAAAAAGCTCAGAAATAAACAAATAGGACCACATCTATGAATAAGGAGGCATTGAAACAGTGTTTCTCTCTTTTTAGTGTGATAATGGAAGTAACTTCCCAGCTGTGTCTCCTAAATATGAATAAACAACAACCTTATGCAACCCCATCTAAATTTTTTCCCAGAAAAACAATCCAATATATTTGGATATTAAACATATGATATAATTATCAAGTACATTTCATATGTAAGAGTATTATTTTTATTACTTAGAAAATAATTTTTGGTATCTCTCAGTATCTTTGCTGTTAACTTCAGAATTAGATTGAAAGTTCAGTAGACCAATTATAAGTTATCATAGTGTTATAAGGGTCAATAGTTATTGACATTATATAAACTTTGATAATTGCATGAAAATATAAAAACTAGATAAACATTCAAAATAAACAGTCATATTAAAGGGGAATAAGACTTGCCTAGGTAAACACCAGCTGAGTGTATGTTGATGCTGTTATTGAGTAAAACTTCTCCAAAATCATAAAGAAATATTGTTGCTACTCCCTGTAATATGTTCCCAAGTATGAGGGATAAGACATAGTTTGGTTTTAAATTTGTTGAGGATTTACTGGAAGAATCATGAATCTCCTTTTCTATGCAAGTATCTTTAGAAAATATAATTATATTTTGTTAGACTAATAAAAGTTACACATACAATGAAAAAACTATTTGATTTAAAAAGCATATTACTTTTTTATAAGATACTGGCATTATTATCCTTTTTAAACTTTCAGTCAACATTTTACTTACGTTGAATGCAGTAATTTTACAATCAGGTACCATGTTCTCAAAAAAATGCAATGAAAAAGAAAATGTGTCGTTATGCTGGAAGAGATGACCCAACTATTACAATATGTAACTATAACCAACAGTATATGTATATGAGTACGTTATTTTTTATAAACATATGCACAGTCCTTATCATAAATGAGTCAGTGGACTTATTAGAGCAACGAATTAATTTTGAGAGCACAAAGATTGATAGTAACAAATGGGTCTAAGGTATTTTGCTATGGAATTTTCCCCTGAAATATTCAACAATATTCTATATATAAAGGAAAAATATGTGGTGGAATCAAAACGTTTTAGGCAAGAAATAAGAAAGGAAAATAAAGAGACACTTTCAAATAAGAAAGGAATATGTTTACAATATTCTAATACTTCAGAGTAAGGTGTATAAAATAAACTACAGATGAACTAAATAATAAGAGACTCTGGCAAAGTGTCAAAAAGTACATGTTGGTATATTGAAGTGTCCAAAGAGACGAAAGAAATGCATGTTTGTTATAAAGTGAGTTGGGAAAATAGTGGGTATAATCAAAGGGTACAAAAATATATATTTAGGAAGTTTTCAGTACAGTGAAAATGTACTAAAATTGAGTGTGGTTGATGGTCAATTTAATGTAGTTATCTATAAACTACATAGGAGAGTGTGTCACACAGGTGTTTTCAAGAGGTAGTGAATTTAATCAGTTTTAACTTCTCAAGGGTCTTGTGGAGCACATTATGTAATGTTGGTTGAAGTACAGGACTGATAGTCAATGAATTGGAAGGTGGTGGACAATAGACTCCTTCAAAGAGATTTAAATACTCTTTGCAGAGGAAAGCATAATAGCAACAGGAAATATTGAAAGGGAACTAAATAGGAGTGACCTAAAAACAGAGATAATGACAAGTGAAAAAAGAATACAAAATCCAAAATATACATATGTATAACTGAAGTATGAACAGAGACAAAATAGGATATACAAATAACTTATTTAAACAAAATAAAAATATTTAAACAAAACAAACATTTCTGCTGTAAAGTATAAGGTAACTTACTTTTCCTCCTCTGATACTAAGTCATACGACTAGCCAATAAATACCCAGAAAGGTATTGTTAAGCTGCATACGTATACTCAGAAAATAAAACATTTATAATATAGCTATTACCCAAAAAAGGGCACAAAGGAAGGAAGATTAAATTGTGTCTGTTCTGGTAACTTGTCCGGTCACGCTTCCTAATTCTCTGCCCTTCCTGCTCAAAATAGGTTCAGGGAATAAGAGTAAAGTGTTCTACATTCTCTTCATTTCCTAAGGCATGTTCAAGTGCACTCAGATTGTCTTTATACAAAAACAAAGACTATATTACAAATATATCCTAAAAATTTAAAAAAATTTATAAATCAAATACTCCACAGTACATTATAAGTACAGGCACTCAATGCATAGTTTATGGTGAATTATAAAGTATGTAAGCATCTTAATTACATTAATATATAAGTCACAATATTTCATATATAAACTTTATATTAATTTGCTAACACTACATGAGCATACATTTCAAGTATAAGTATGTGCATAAATGTATATGAACACAAAAAATTCATGCTTTTTATAACAAAACATCAGCCCAGTTTAAATTTTCTAAAGTTCATAACAGTGTATTAAAACTTTTATAATTCTTTATTTAAGTTACCTGGCACGATAGGATCACAGACTGTGCTGTGAAACACCAATATATTATAGGTCCTACAGTTGTGAGAAAATTTTTTTAAAAAATATGTTCGGGGCTGGAGAGATAGCACAGTGGGTAGGGCATTTGGCTTGCATACGGCCGACTCGGGTTCAATTCCCAGCATCCCATATGGTACCCCGAGCACTTCCAGGAGTAATTCCTGAGTGCATGAGCCAGGAGTAACCCCTGTGCATCACCGGGTGTGACCCAAAAAGCAATATATATATATATATATATATATATATATATATGCAGTCATCAATTATTTTACAGTAAAAGTTCCACGTTAAAGATAAGGTTCTTGCTGAAAGAAAGCAGTTAAAAGGTACAGATGCTAACATTTCAGCATCTACACCATGAACCATACTGCCTAAAATGAGAAAGAGAGAGAGAGGATAGGTACCTACAAAATAGAGGTAGGCTGGGGTTGGGGTGATGGCTTGAAGGGTGGGAGATGCTGGCAACACTGGTGCTGGAAAATTACACCGGGGAGAGATAGGTGTTGTAACATTACATGACTTAAACACAACTATGAATGATTTTGTGATGCTCTAACTTATGGTTATTCAATTAAAAATTAAAAAAGATCAACTCCAATGACTGGAAAGAGGATATTGATTGAACACATATGTGCCCCACAAAAGTTCAATTCCAGTACCACATGGTCCCCTGAGCATCTGGTGCAGCCCTTGTCCCCCAAGTATCTCTGAGTATTGTGCTGGAGGCCCAGCATTGCTGGCACTGGATAATCAAGAATTACCAGTAAGCCCCCTTCTCTCCTCTGGTGCTCCTGAGCTTTGCCTGGAAACCCCCTCCCCAAAGAAGATAAGCTTCTATCTTATCACAGGGGATGCTTAAAAATGGGTGCTTTTCTTTTTTGAGTGTAAGTGTGTGCATGTATGTGTGTGTGTGTGTGTGTGACTGTATGTGTAAATGTGTAATGGGGCAAAAATAAAGAGAATAATTGTGGGAGGCACAAGCAATCACCAACGTTCTCAAGATATTGCATTATATAAGCAATTTTTGAAATGTGCCTCAAACGTGGTTTCTTTACCCTGGGCCTCCTCTTATATGGGAGGGTGTATGAGCAGGAAGAATGAAAGAATGACATATATGTTACTAGCCTGCTATAATTAGCTTTAAAAACTTAGTCATGGGAGTGAACACAAATAGATGGATATGTCACATTCTATTTCAAGTTCCGTTATTCACTAATGTATATAAACAATGGTTTGATATATGACAGGATCTTACCTTCATATTCTTTATATAATAGATTACTTCCTATTTCAAAGTATGGAATACCACAGAAAAGTGATGCCAACCCTACTAAAAAGGATGACACTGCAATGAGCCTTGATATGTTTTCTTTTTCTAAAAAGTAGAACATAAATGGGAATGCCAGTAAACTTGAAAGGTCTTTACATACTGATATTATTGAAGCCGTGTAGATGCTTATACTATCTTCCTGATAAAAAATGCCAACAGTCACATCCACAAGACTAATCAAAATACCTAAAAGAGAAAAAAAAACTGTAAATAGAATGCATTTAACAGACAAAATACAGGACTGTGATGGTTGTTACAAAGCAAAACAATTTGACCGATTTAAACTTATTTTGAATTATGAATGCCTAAAATCTATTAGAATACACTGATAATTGTGTTCTTTTCCTAAAATACTCTCTAAAATACTTGTCTAAAGGAACACAGTTCTTTTTCTCAAATCTAATGGACCTAAAGATTTGAAATATTTTCTAACTAAATTTTTGTAGCTATTTTGCAAATACTACGGAATAGTGATCTTTTAAATCATATCACTAAAAACTGGATATTTACTTTAATGCATTATTATTTGAACTATAAAAAGAAATACATAATAATAAATAAGCCCGGCAAGCTACCGAGAGTATTCGATATGCCAAACACAGTAACAACAAAGTCTTCAATGGAGACGTTACTGGGCCCGCTCGAGCAAATCGACGATCAACGGGAGGGCTTATTTACTATCTATTACAAAATAAAATGTTGGGTCTCATTCCCCGGAACCTGAAAGAGCCTCCAATGTGGCACTCGCTAAAATATCAGGGCTAGGACGAACGGAGACGTTACTGGTGCCTGCTCAAGGAAATCGATGAACAATGGAATGAGAGTGATACAGTGATACAGTGAGCAAAATAAAACATTGTTAAAATAGTTGAAATCCAAAGTGTATCCCTATCTTCTCTCTCTCTCTCCATAACCTGTATTCTGTATTTGAAGATTGCCATTTCTGAGACTCTTAAATAATTTTTTCACAATTTTTTTAGTGAAGCAATATAATTCTTATTGAACAAAATTTAGAAAGATGCAAGGGATTAGAAAGAGCGGAAATGCGTGTTCAAGAGAGAACACAGGAAAACTCAGGACCCCGAAACCCAGACACCGCCAGGACCCCGGCCTGGGGCACCTGCCTCCACTTCCACAGCGAGTGCCAGCCCAACTAGTCGCTGCTGTTCTCCAACAAGTCTGTGGACTAGCATCTGGACTGGCTGGGGGCGTGGCCACCACTGTAGGGGGAGTGGCATCCTCAAAGTGGATGTGGCCTCCTAAAGCGGCAGTTACATTTCCCACTCCCATCGCTCTTGACTTTCACCCCAGCCTTTATAACCTAATTCTGTGGAAAAATTCCTAGCCACCTCAACTACAACAATTATCCATTGGCCTACTCCAATTCTAACAAGAGACCAGTACGTGAGAAGCTGTACAAGCCCAATATTAAAAGAGCACCTCCTCCAAAGCTTCACTAGATGCCCATCGTAAGCCAAAGAACAAGCCTGAGAGGAAGGTGAGACTAGAATGGGAGAAGAGTGACCACCATCGACCAACCTTATCCAGAATACTTTCCCACGATAAGAGGGAACAGTGCTAGTAAATTCCAGGGTTTTACCTCTAGACAACCAAAACAACATGAAGAAAGAGAGAACACAGGCTTCTCCAGATAGAAAAAGGAGCAAGCAAAGAGACATAAAGACAAGCAAGCAGGTGCATAGTCAAAGGAAAACAAGGACGTGAGAATACTCTTCAAGGGAACATATGTGGCATCAGAGTTCAAACTGAGGTTGGCCACATGCAAGGCAAAGCCTTAATCCCTGTAATACCTCTTGGCCTCTCAACATAATATTTTAAGGTAATGCTAATCATAGTAGTTTAATGACAACCCAGAATGGATTTTCTTTAACATAAAAATTTACATTAGTAAATATATAAATAGTAAGTCATAGTCCCAACCAAAACTTTTGGGGAATTATATATAGAAAAAGAAACCATAATCAAATAACACCATTACATTTCTGCCATACCAAGATGAAAAAGAAAGAAGATTTGGAGATTTTACTCTATCCATGAAGACTTTCTTCAATGCTAACTGCAGATGTGCTCAGAGGGGAAAATGTGCTGTCAGTGAAGTATCTATCTTTGAGTTTAGAATATCAATCCCGCCCACCCCCCAATCAAATTCATCAGTATTATGTAACAAAGAAGCAAATTTGTGAAGTTCTCTCCTTCATACTCTTACCAAACATTAAGGGAAAGAGAAAAAACTGTAAGACACAACATATGCCCCCAAATGTTAAAGTGTGTTTGTACAAATTAAATATGTAAAAATAATGGATAATTGCCAGATTTTTATTTCTCCAAATAGTCTCTGAAACTGCAGTTCATATTGATAACTAAATTTCTACGACTTACCCTGTCTTCTCTTTATTGCCCTATAGATAGGCTGTTGTCTCAATGGTTATTCGAAAGTATATTATTTAATCTCCCAATTTTTGAGTTTTTCCCAGATTTTTAAAAAGTTGCATGTTCATGTTTTAATTACTAATAAAAAAATTTTGAAAGCTGTCAAAGCTTCTCCCCCAAGCAAAGCCTGTTTGCAGGCCTCGGGTCTCTAGCTCTTCCAAGCTCTCAGGACTGCTTATCTTTAAGTTCCTCCAGAAAAATGGAATCAAGGAGAAATCTTCCATGGAATTTCTATGAAGCCAACATTACCAGGACACAGAGCAGATGTGCCCTGAAAAAATGAAAATGATTTAAATTTTTTTTATTTATTTATTGAATCACCGTGGGAAAGGGTACAAAGCTTTCAGGTTTAGGTCTTAGTCATGCAAATATCAAGCACATTTCCCTTTACCAAAACTTATTTTTTACCATGAAGAACCTCAATAAAACCTCACCCCACCCCTCCCAGTCCCTGTGGGGCAGATGAATTCTAGTTAACACTCTATCTGCTTTGATTAGATTCATTGTTTCAATAAAAGATTCACCACTATTATTTAGAGTTTACCCCCCCCCCCCCAAATCAGACATGCTGAAAAAGCATTGTGAAGTGATTTGCTCTCTACAGCTGGGTTCAAGAATTATATGTTGGTTTTGGATTTCTGCTATTTTACTTATTGACCCTGGAAGTATTTCTACTGAAAGTCAGATAGTTAAGAAATTGGTTTCTGTGCTCTGGAGACGTGGCCATGCTGGAGAGCCGCTAGTGGGGGGCAACTGGTGGCCTCGGTAGGGTGTGAAGGGCAGAGCGAAACGCCCCCCTTCCCATGAGGTTTTAGTCGCCCCCAGTCCCCCGGCTCATACCTGCTGTCCACAAGGCTCCCATGCGGCCGCCATCTTTCTTTCCAGAGAGGAGAAGGCGACTGGGGCAACACCCTTTCCCCTCCGCACAGACCTGATGGCCTGGATTAACGCATAGTCCATTCACTTTTCTGCTCCAAGCTGCTGGGTTCTGCATTAAGTCCTTGTGCTTCTGGGGCTGTGGCCGTGCTGGAGAGCCGCTCATGGGGGGGCAACTGGTGACCTCGGTAGGGCGTGAAGGGCGGACCAAAACGCCCCCCTTCCCATGAGGTTTTAGTCCCCCCCCTCCCCTGGCTCATACCTGCTGTCCACAAGGCTCCCATGCAGCCGCCATCTTTCTTTCCAGAGAGGAGAAGGCGACTGGGGCAACACCCCTTCCCCTCCGGACAGACCTGATGGCCTGGATTAACGCATAGCCCGTTCACTTTTCTGCTCCAAGCTGCTGGGTTCTGCATTAAGTCCTTGTGCTTCTGGGGCTGTGGCCATGCTGGAGAGCCGCTCGTGGGGGGCAACTGGTGACCTCGGTAGGGTGTGAAGGACGGACCGGAACGCCCCCCTTCCCATGAGGTTTTAGTCGCCCCCACTCCCCCGGTTCATGCCTGCTGTCCACAAGGCTCCCATGTGGCCGCCATCTTTCTTTCCAGAGAGGAGAGGGCAAATGGGGCAACACTCTTTCCCCTCCGGACAGTCATGATGGCCTGGATTAACGCATAGCCCATTCACTTTTCTGCTCCAAGCTGCTGGGTTATGCATTAAGTCCTTGAGTTTCTGGGGCTGTGGCCGTGCTCCAAACTTAACTATGATTTTCAGAGAGAAACGTTGGGTGGTTTACTTCCCATGGATCACTTTGTATATAGAGAGAAGTCCTATAGAGAAAAAGTCCTAGTTCCCGCATACTCGAGCTGTGGTTGTAGAGGCTTCTGGTCACCGGGGTTCCATCTGGGGGAGGCGGGATGCGGTACCTACCCCATCTGGGGCTTCCCGATGATCTCGGCTCTTTTTGGAACCTGTTTTTTTTTTTTCCCTTCGGGATCTGTGGATCCCGCCCTCCATATTATCCTTCTCTTCGGCTGAATGCTGTAAATATCAAAAATGATTTTAAAGGAACATATTTAGCATGGCCCTCCCATTCTATTTAAGCGGCTGCAAGAGGCAAAATTTCAACTTCCTTTAGAACTGAGTACCAAGGAATAATATTCTTAATATACATTTACTAACTTTTCTAATGCTATCCACATTTCTCTACTAAAATGCTACAGATTTTTCTGGAGAAATTATCTTTAATATTATCTTATTGCCATATGTAATTGTGCTTTTTTAAAAATAAAATGTTCTCTGTTTTGTCAAAGTCACTTATTCTGCTTTTTAAATAAAGAGTAAAATCAACCAGACTTGTTTGCTTAAAAAATGGCTTTACCTTTAGAATGGTTTTTGATTGGTTACTTGGAATTGACTTGGAGCCTTAGAATAGGATACCTGAAGTTAGTGCTTTTATACTCCTGAGGCCTCAGATCATGCACTACTTTTGATCAAAAAGTTTATACCTTTGGTCTGATAAATACCCATGTTTTGCATGCCAGGGACTTTATCATTTGTTTGCACGATTTATGTTAACAATATAATTTATGGTGAGTACCCTTATGTTGTATGTACATATGAGTGAGAATATGGAGTCTCATTATCCGAGTCTCAATATCATATCACACATATGAGTGAGAATATGGAGTCTCAATGGATATTGAGATGGATGAAACTCACAGATGGATGAAACTCACAAAATAAACAATCCCGGGTACAAGTACCAAGGTTCATGTAAGCTTTCTTGGCAACTCTTCAAATGTCATTATACACTGATGCTGAGATTTTAAAGCATATCCATACTATGCCACTGGGAAAGAACATGTGAAAGCTTGTGTTTGTTATTTGCTGGAGTTTCACCACTGTTCTTTTTCACCTTGCTAAGTTTACTATGTATCTAGTGAGTTTAAACACTACTAAGTAGAGGATGTTTTTTAATTCTATTTCAGCAGAATACCCCGGAGAATTATTTGATGAATGCTTTACAGGACAATACTCCTCAAATGAATTGTCTCTGATTATTTTTAATGTTTCATCAATTTTAAATGTGCAAAAACATAGGCCTACTTAATATTTCAATATAGGAAAATGAATTAATGTAATTTTCCATATACATATAATAAAGCATAATAATATTAAAATGACAAAATTCATTATACTTTCATAAATTAAAGTAACTAGGAAGTTAATGAAATGAATAAAATGTATGTAGAAACCAATGTTGCATCTTAAAAGTTAATCATAGACTTAAAATATGGTCAGAAATTCTAACTCGTAGATAAAGCCCAAGAGAAATAAAATTATGTTTCTACACAGAAAATTTTATGCAGTTTCACATGTAAGATACTTGAAAGTCAACATTCTCCCCTAAGAAATAAAAAACTGAACATAACTGAGTTTACTATAACTGAAAATGTTAATATATTTTTTGGAAATGTAATAATGGGAGAGATACAAGGAAAATTTGATAAGATCCTGAATTCCAATGCTATGAAAATTCACCAATTAAGCTTTGGGACTTGAACGGCTCCAATTCCAAACAGGTACAGCCCGCCCCCAAGGGCCTGGGACCCTCTCTGGGCATGCACAGCTAGATCCAGTTCCTAGAAAGCCGGTTTTCAACCCCTGATCTGTGCGGGACGGGCACGGAGGCCCAGTTCTGGGCAACAAAGCTGAACGGCTCCAATTCCAAACAGGTACAGCCCGCCCCCAAGGGCCTGGGACCCTCTCTGGGCATGCGCAGCTAGATCCAGCTCCTAGAAAGCCGGTTTTCAACCCCTGATCTGCGCGGGACGGGCATGGAGGCCCAGCTCTGGGCAACAAAGCTGAATGGCTCCAATTCCAAACAGGTACAGCCCACCCCCACGGGCCTGGGACCCTCTCTGGGCATGCACAGCTAGATCAAGCTCCTAGAAAGCCGTTTT